CTCACGCCGCACCCGCCCCCAGCCCCTCGTCCGCGGAGGAGAAGAGCGCCGGCAGCATACTGGACGACATCGGCAGCATGTTCGACGACCTGGCGGACCAGCTGGACGCCATGCTGGAGTGACGCGGCCGCGCACGTCGGGCCCGCCCGCGCCGCCGGGGCCCCGGCCCGCACACTGACCTTTACCTCAGGGTGGGCACCTCTGGGCGCAGCGCGAGCGGGCAGGGCGGCCAGCCGACGGGGGCCAGGAGCAGGGGACGGCCCGGTCGTCCCCTGCACAAGCACAACTCCTGCCCCTGGGCCCAGGCCGGACAGCCGGCCTGGAGGACTGCCTGGCCAGGGGACCCAAGGGCTCTGGGTAAACGCTGCTGCCCGGTGGGTGCCCGTTCCTGTCTGCTGCGCCCCGTGCAATAACTGCTGGGCCGCCCGCCCACCCATGCCAGGCTCTGCCTGCTGCGGGTGCAGGAGGGTCGGCCCCGGCCCCCTGCCGTGAGCCCAGGTGGGGCCTGCCCGGGCGGGAGGCGGGAGGTGGGCAGCTGCTTTAGCCCCCTCCCCAATCTGTGGCAGAGCACAGGCCTATGCCCAGCACAGAGCTGCCCATTGGGGACTTCCGCCCACCGCTCCAGCGCAGCACAAGGGGCTGGGGCTGGGGTTGCGCCCCTGCCCCACTGTACCCCCCAGAATATAAGCTATGGAGAGTGTTAATTTATTGGGAATGAGCTGAGGCAGATTTCCCCAAAGAAACAAAAAGGTATAACTTTAACAAATATATATTTAAAGAAAGAAAAAATATTATTGATTCTATAGAAAACCATTTACCAACTGTAAGGACACTGAAGTCTAGCTCAAGACAAAAGCTGTTAGAGGCCCTGGCCGTCTGTCTGTCCATCCTTCCCTCCCTCTGTCCAGGACCTCTGGCCCAGTAGCACAAACAGGAGGCTGGGGTCCGGGAGGGTCCATGCTCCGCTAGGGCCTCCCCTCCCTCTCTCTCTTTCTCCTAACTTCTCTGCGTCTGAAGAACTCGAAGGATGTGCCTTGCTTGCTGCTGGGCTGTGTCCTCCACACCGTGGAGCTAGTGGGGAGGGCTCCCTGCTCTCCCGGGGTGCTGGTGGGAGGTGCGCCTGGGCTTTGGGGGAGCTGTGCGTGCAATGTGGGCACACCAGCCAGGTGACAGCGGTGGGTGCAGGGTGTGCATGCCAGACTGCGTGTGGCACGTGTGAGGGTGTGCCTGACCCTCCCTCCCCAGGGCCCTCCCCCATCCAAGTTCCCGCGGACGCTTCTGCTCATGGTCCCAGGCTGTGTCGTGTGGTCGTTCTTGCCCTCTCTCTCTCCTCTCTCTTCTTTCCAAAAAGTACTGACTGGCCTCCTCTATTGTGTTTGCTGATCCACGTGTGTTGGGCACAACTTTGACATTTCTTAAAAAAAAAAAAAAAAAATTTAACGCCGAAAACCAGCGGTTGTGATGCGGGCGGGCAGAGGGGATTGGCCAAGGTGGCATCTGGGCGTGTGGGGCCCCTTCCAACTGTCATGCCCTGACACTTCCCCAGGTGGGTGCGCCTGGCTTCTCTTTAGTGGGCGGCCCAGGCTGGGGCTCCAGCAAGTGGGGAGGGGGGTTCTGGGCAGGGAGCTGCTGTCAGCTGTCTAAATAAACAGCAGAAAACAGAGCTGCCTGGCTCACTTCTTGGGGACGTGTGTTGGGGAGAGTGGGAATCTAGCTTGCTCCTGGCAGGGAGGAGTCACCAAGAGGGCCACACCCTGGGGCTGACAGGAGGAGCCCTTTTGTGGCCCCGCCCCGCCTCCCTCCTGCTGGCTGCCGGTGCCGTGCACACCAGCCTTCTTGGGTGGCCTCTCTGACACCCCCAAGGACTGTCCCCACTCACAGCCACAGTCTGTGCAGCTTTTATTTCAATCAGGAAGTAATCAAATCTATATACAGTCTAAAAACAGTAGAAAAGGTGAGTAAAAAGGCCCACAGTCCATCTGGGGTGGGGATGGAGGGTGGGCCGGGCGAGCATCGTACCTGGCACCCAGAGAGAGGGGCTGGGCACTGTCCTGGCAGCGACGATCACAAGGCCAAGCAGAGGGAGGCTCGCCGGGCACAGGGCGGGGAGGGCACTGCCTGGCCTGGTGAGCCTGCCCGCCTGTCCCTGCAGGGCAGGCAGGGACCCCCCCAGACCCCTCCCGTGGCCAGCCTGGATGGGACCGGCCTGGGAGGCTGCAGAGGAAGCCAAGACGGGCCTGCACTCTGTTAGCATGTCCAAACCTGCAGAAGAAGGGCTCTGTTTCAGATGCCCCTTCGGCCACGCTGCCTCACCACCACCTGCCATGCACGCTTGCCCTCCAGTGCCCCCTGCCCAGGGCCTCTAGTTCCTCTGCCCCTGCCCCCTGCTGCAGGTGCACAGCCCCCCGGAAAGGCCTGACCTTCACAGTGCTGTCCACAGCTCCTGAGAAGAGCCGGCCCCGGGACACAGCCAGCGCAGTCACACTGCCCTGGTGACGCAGCAGCGTCTGCGTGCAGATCATGTTGTCCATACTCCAGACCTGGGGGCACATGGAACGTGAGCGCCCAGCCAGCCCAGCTGCCAGCCCGCAGCCTGCCACCGGCGCTAGGCCAGCACACACCCTGAGAGACCGGTCGTAGGACGCGCTGAAGACTTTGGTCTGGTCTGGCGTTGAGATGACTGCCAGGGCATACACGGTGCCAACGTGGCCCGTCAGGGTCCGCACCTGCTCCTTGGACTCGATGTCCCACACCTGAGGGAGTGGCCCAGGCAGGTCAGAGCCACAGATGGGGGAGGACAGGGGCCCAGAGGGAAGCCCCGGCCCTAGTCGCCCGCCTTACGTGGATGAGGTTCTCATAGGTGCCACAAACGATGTGGTGATTCGTCACAGCAATAGAGTAGACGCTGCCGCCAGACGTCTGCAGGACATGGATGCAGTCGAGGGTCCGGATGTCCCAGATCTACGGACAAGCTCAGGCCACTTGGTTCCAGGCCAGGCACCTCACCCCCAGGGCCTCGGAGGCTTTGGACACTGTGAGCAGCCCACCCGTCCCCCAGGAAGCGTGTGAGGGCCTCTCTGCCCCGGCAGTGAGGGGGGCGGTGGAGGCGGAGCCCCCCCGGAGCAGGCCTGGGCGGTGACGGAGGAGCCTCCCCAAAGGACCCTCCCCCCCCACCAGGCCTACCTTGATTGTCTGGTAGGAGCCGCTGTACAGGTAGCTCTGGGCGGCCACCAGGGCCCGGACCCAGTGGTTGAGACCTGTGAGTTCCTTCTTCAGCTTCAGTTCAGTGCCCACGATGTCCCAGACCTGTGGAGGCGGCCATGAGTGTGGGCTGGGGGGCACTTAGCCGGCACCTTGATGCCCCCCCCCACCCCGCATACACACAGTGCCACGCCTGACCTTGATGGCCTTCAGGGAGCCGCTGAAGAGCATGTTGTGTGAGGAGACCAGCGTGCACACCGGGTTGTCGTGGGCCCGGATCGTGTTCACCTTCTGCAGGTTCTGGATGTCCCACACCTGGTAGGAAGGAGGACAGAAAGCCTCAGGCCCCAGCGAGGCGGCACGCCCGGGGTGCCCAGAGCCCGCGCGCCCGCCGCAGCCCCACTCACGATGATGGTACAGTCCGCCGAGCCACTGTACAGCTTGCACCTGGGGGGCGGGGCCGCGGGGTCAGGGCGGCACATGCCGCCGTCCTCGCTGGCGCCGCCGGGCTGGGCCGAGGGGCAGCAGCCAGAGGGCCCGGCAGCTCAGGCCAGCGCCAGGGACGCTCCTGCCCCCTCGAGCCCTCGGTGCTCCTGTCCCGGCGAGGGAATCTTGGGAGTGGAAGCCCGGCCCCCACCCCCTGCCTGGCAAGCGTCCAACAGTGAGCTGGGAGGTAATGACCCCCGTCAGCGCTGTTGGCCGTCAGCCGCTGCTTTCTGGGAGCGAGCGTCTTTGTCTCTCCGTCTCTCACGCTCATGCCCACGAAGTAAAGCCTCATGATGCGAGACAGGAGGAAGGTCTAGAAGGGGCTACCCTGGGAGTGAGGGGATAGCAGGGCCGGCAACTCGGTGGTCCTGTCCCTGAGCTGTGCCCAGGGCTCTGGCTACAGGCCAGCGAGGTGCCCAAGGCACCCCAGGGCCGCGGCTACACGTCGAGAACGTACATCTTCAGAGCAGGAGGGCCCGTGTGCTGCCACCTAGCCATCCAGCTCTGCTCGAGGGTGAGAGTGCCCCCCAGGACGGGCACATACGGCCATGTGAGGACACACGTGGCCGCACAGGCTCGAGCCCCTGGCCCACGGGGTCTCCCGTCCCTGGCCCGGCGTGGGCCCCGGGCCGGGGAGGCGTGCGCGCGCACACTCACCCTTGGATGCACAGCGCCAGCACGATGCCGTCATGGCCCTCCAGCGTCTTCTGACACTTATAGGTGGTGCATGTGTCCCACACCTGCAGAGACCAGGGCCGTGTGGGTCCCCACAGGGCCAGCCCAATGCCGGGGGCAGCAGGGTGGGAGTGGGGCCGGAAGGTGTGCCACCCGCAGGCAGGCCAGGGCCGGGAGAGGTTGGCAGGCGTGCCCACCCCCGAGGCAAGACCCCACTCACCTTGATGGTCTTGTCAGAGGAGCCGCTGAAGAGCAGGTCCCCCATGGAGTAGACACAGAGACACCAGACCGGGCCCTGGTGGCCCACGAAGGTTCCTTTGCACTTGAAGATCTGCTGTGGGTCGTAGGCTGCGGACATGGGGGGAGCTGGTGAGGGCCTGGCGGCACTCAGGGGCAGTGGCGGGGGCAGCAGCAGGCCCGTACTCACATCCTAGGATGCCCATGTTCAGCCGCGCGTTGATGTGGGACAGCTCATCCTGCCAAGGCCAAGAGCGGAGGGCCCGCTGGGTGTGGCTCCGGGCCCCCTGCCCCCAGGCCGGGCCGGGCCCGGACAGTGCAGGTGCAGCAGCAGCCTTCCCCGGCACACCCCTAACTCCAAGTGCGGCCAAGCCTCCTGCGGGGGCCCAAGCTGAGGGGCAGTCCTGTGCCCCCCTCTGCCCACCCTGCCCCCTGCACTTGGCCCCCATCTGCTGCTCACGTTCAACATGGACGCATCCCTCCGGAACTCCATGAGGTCCTCGCTGAGCTTGCTCTGGTTTTCATCTAGGACATCTGAGTGGCCAGGAAGACTGCGTCAGGGACCAGGAGGAGGGGCTGCAACCCTGCCTCTCTGGGGCATGCCCTCACCGAACTTGAGCTCCAGGCTCTTCTCCAGCTGGTCAATCTTCTCTGAGAGCTTGCCCAGCATGGAGCGCAGGAAGGCGATCTCCTGGTCCTTCTGGGCCAGCGCCACATGCATCTCGTGGAAGCGGTCGTCTGTCTGCTGCAGGAACTCCTTCAGGCCCTCAAAGCGGCACGTCTCCAGGTGCGTCTCATAGGTGTCCTGGTTCCCGATGAAGGTGCACCTGGAGGGACAGGATGGCTGCCCTGTCCACCTGCTCACCTGCTCACCTGGTGGGGCCCTTTCCCCAGCCCCCCAGCCCCAGGATCTCTCTTGAGTCCCACTTCTCTGCCACGATCCTCCCCACGCCTGCTGCCTGCCCATCTGTCCTACCACCGCTCAGCACCTAGCAGGCCGCTTTGTAAGGAAATCTCGTCACTTTGCTCCTGCTCAAAGCTCTTCAAGGGCTCTCCCACAGCCATTGCCAGCCTCCCAGTCCTGCCTCTTCTCTGGCCCGCCACACCTCGGCTCTCCCCTCCACCCGTGTTGGCCCCCACACTGCTCCTTGGCTCACACGCACACATGCATGAGTCCTCAGGGCCCACCGTCCCTGACCCCCCGGCTCCCCGACCACTCTGAGCCCTCTGCGCTCCTGGAGGGCTCAGGTCTCTCCTTCGTGGCACCTGTACCTCAGTTTGTATTATACAGCTGGTGGTGTGGCTCCCGCTAGGGTCCATCTCCCTGGGGACCCTGGCTGTGTCCCCAGCGCTCAGCACACAAGTGGATCTCAACAGAGGTTTGCTGAAGGAGGGACTGTGAATGCCAGCCCAGTCGCCACCCCCCCGCCCTCCTGCCTGCCCGCCACCGTCCCAGGGCAGCCCCCGCATGCCCGCCCCCGCCCACTCACCCGTACTTGGAGTGGGGACACTTGATGTGCTCGCACTCCTTCAGGTGGGCCTCCAGGTTCATCTTGAGGAGGGGCGGGCAGCTGGGGTTGTTAGGACATCGTACAGGCCTGTAGTCACAGCTGCTCTCGTGGTCCCTGGGGGGCCGGGCACCATGGGCTGAGTCCCCGGAGGCACCGTGTCTCAGCGCCCCTGGGGGGTGGGGAGTGGGGGCCGAGGGGGGCACTTACTTGCGAGCGCTGAGCTTGATGGTGAACGGGCACCCTCGGGGGTCCACCTCAAAGACGGGGGGCTTCCCGCCCCCTGCCACCCGGCAGCCGTGCCTGCAGTGGATGAAGAGCTCCCCGATCTGCTCAGCCACCGCAATGTTGTTCACCACCACCGTCAGCTTGGCGTGGTCCACGGGGCACTTCTCTGCAGGGGAGGACATGCTGACTCCACGGTCCACCTGGCCACCCCCAGCCCTGGCAACTCTGCTCAGAGCGCTGTGGCCGGGCTGTGCTGGGGTGGGAGACTGAGTCCTGGTGTGGCAGGCTTAGAACATGCTCAGTGGATCCCCCTGGGTGGATCCCCCCATCTACCTGCCCCGCTGAGGTGCCTGAAACAGGAGGGGTGCACAGCTGGGCCACCAAGAGTGACCACTGGGTGAGTAGGAGGTGATGGAGCCTCTCAGCTGACTTAGGAGTCTGGGACGGGGTGGAGGGAGCTGGGAACAGGGCACGGAGAGGAACCAGCCCTGGGCCCAGGCGCCAAGGCCTGGGACGGTGAGTGGGCAGCCGTGACAGTGAAGGCAGCTCTTGCCAGAGACAGCAGCCGCTGAGCCCCGGGGCCCCTAAGCTGTGGGTCTCACGGCTCTGCCCATCAAGGTGTGGAGCCCGGCCTGCACGCACCCGGGGCTGCTGCTGGGCCAGGACTAGAGAGAAGCCAGCATGTACCAGGGGCACCATCGGTGCTGGGCGTGGGCTAGGACCTCCCTGGAGGAACCCACCACAAGCTGGGTAATGAGGTGGCCGGGCCTGGGTCTGGGAGGGCCTTACCTGACTTTAGGGCGCATCTTCGACAGAACGTGTGCTGTGGAGACAATGGGTGGGCTTGCGGCATGGCCACGGAGTTGTCCCCCGCACCTGTGCTCCCTGCAGGGCCAAGGCTCTGCACCAAAGGGGCCGGCGGCCCGCCTGGCCCCGTGAGGGTGCACAGGTCGGAAGGGCCGGGCAGGGCGGGCCGGGGCGGCCTTACCCCACACGTGGTGATCACGGGATCCTTGAACACACTGCAGCAAAGCTGACAACACAGCTTCACCGAGGGCTGCTCGGCAAACACCAGCGGCTCCTAGAACCGGGCAGGGCAGGCTGAGAGTGGGGCCTGGGGGCACAGACGCAGGCGGGGAAGGAACCTCAGCTGCGGTGGGGCCCAAGAAGGGCCTGCTGAGGCCTGGGGCTGGGCCTGAGCTTGAGGGGCCTGGGCCGTCCGCGCGTCCTGTCCACCTGCGATGGGGACCGGGAAGGACCCCACATGGGCTCCTCCCTCACTTCCCAAAGCCGGTCCTGGGGAGCCCCTGGGCCGAGACGTGGGAAGAGCGTGCCTGGGGGACTAGACCGCATCGCCCCCTCCCACCAGGCCCAGGGGGAAGGTCCCGCCGCATCGTGGGGGGCCGCCCTGCCGTGGCGGACACACCTACCGGTTCCTCCTCCTCCTCAGGCAGCGAGAACGTGGAGCGCAGGGACATGCTGGACTCCGAGTGCAAGGAGCGGACGGAGATGGCCGAATCAGAGCGGCGTGGCGTGCTGATGGGGGGCTGCGGTGCACGGGGGCAGGCAGCCCATCAGCCGGGGGGGAGGGCAGGGCCCCCCCCGGCCCTGGCGGGCACTCCCTTGGCCCCACAGGGCCACCGCGTGTGCCCGGGGAGCCGGTGCGGTGCCCAGGCCCCGGCCTGCCCAGCGGTCCCGGCCCTGTTGCTGGGCCACCCGCGCACGTCTGCCAACTTTCTTTGTGTAAATGGAGAGACTTCCTGCTATTCAATTCCAGGAGGACACGCTCGCCTGGCCTGCTTCCTGCTTCCCGTGAGGGAGTGTGGGCTGCACACGGGGCGCCTCCATCGGCCAGTCCTGGGCCGGCCTCAATGCCCGGATGGCTAGAGGAAGGGACGGCTGGCGGAGGCTTCGGGGCTCCAGGTCCCCTGGGGCTTGGCTGCCCATCAGGCTTCCCTGGATGGGGACGCTGGGCCAGGCCGATGAGGATCCTGGGGAAGGCAGGGACGCCCCCACTGAACCCTGGCCGAGATGCTGGAGCAGGAGGGAGGGCCATGGGGGCCTGCCTCTGCCTGAGCAGCTGAGGGGGAGGATCTGGGTGGGGCCTCAGGTGGGGGTGCTGCTCCCCCTCCCTTCTTGACCTAGAACCCCCAGTGGAGATGCTGTAAGAACCACTGCTCCCCATGCTCCTCCTCTCGCACCCAGAAGCCTCCTGCCTCCACACACAGCCCATGGGCCCAGCCGCCCCATCCCAACCTCTGTGCGAGGCCGGGAAAACCCCCTCCCCACCAGCCATGGGTGTCAGAGGTCATGGAGACTGAGGCAGGTGGAACCAGAGGGAGTGAGGCGCAATGTATCTGCTCCCTGCTTCAAGAAGGCCTAGTGCGGCCTTCAATTAACTAAATAACTAAAAGAGCTAAAACGTTTAAATAACTAATAACCCTGTGTTTCTTTGTGTTAAATAGGAAACCAAGGCCTGGCAGCCCAGCATGTGAAGACTTGGGTCCTGGGGGGCTGGGAGGGTAGGAGAACCAGCTGGAGTCCGCCAGGCACACACCGGCCGGATCTCGCGAAGGGAAAGCAGAAAGCATGGGACAGGTGAGCGGCAGGAGGGCCCGAGCCAGCCCCTGGCCCAGGGCAGGACCTCCCCTCCCCCGGCAGGCCCAGGGCCCCAACAGGCAGAGAACAGCCACAGTAACCCTGGCCACACAGCCTGGGCACTGACGGCCAGCCCCAACGCTGCCCCGACCCCCTTCCTCACTCTGCAGTGCCCGAGGCAGGAAGCTCTCTGGCTCTCCCACAGGCTTCTCGTGCCCGGCTCGGGCCACCCACCCTCCACTCACCTGCTCAGGCCTCCTACCTCTACCCGGCAGCCCACCCACTCATCCTTACTCAACAGCAGAGGCAGCTTTAAAAATGGAACTCTGATCTCATTCCCCGCATGCCTGAACCTTCTCTGGCTCCCATGGCTCCAGCTTGTGGGCCCTGCACCCCCCCAGCCCAGCTGCCCTCTCTAGCTGCCTCTCCCATGCAGTCCAGCCATGGGTGCTGAGGCCTTAGGGTGTCCAGACACACCAGCCCTCAGCCTCCCCAGCCCACTACACCCTGCAGACCTTGGCTCGGGGCATGCCTCGCAGCTGAGCCTCCCCCTTCAGCTACTCCTGGGACCTGGGCCTCGGGAAGGAGAACATGGTGGGAGGCTGTGGGGAGAGATGGTCATGGCACAGACCTACCATGCTGTCCTCCTCATCCCGCGGTGAGTAGGCGAGGGTGCTGGAGGAGGATGGCGTCCTGCGGTGCTGTTTGTACGTGCTGGTCCCATCAGCTGCCAAGAGAAAAGGGTTGGGATGCCATGAGTGTGGGCCACAGGGGCATGCCTGGCCCATCATGGCGGGAGGTGGGCCCCCTGGGCAGATGGGCCCAGCAGGGGCAGGGGCTGGGCCTGACATGGGGCTAGTCCTCTCCAGGTCTCCTTGCTGCCACCCACTCCCAAGGCCTCCTTCTTGATCTGAGGGCCACTGGGCCGGGGCTGGGCTTGTGGGCAGCTGGGAAGCCCGTGCCCCCAGCAGGGACCTAAGCAGGGCAAGGGCAGGAGCATGAGCTGACCCGAGCCCCCAGCTAGAGCCCCAGTGGCCCAGGAAGGGAGCAGCCCCCAATAGGCTGAAGGGAGGATGGAGGGCTCTTTCCTGTGCCCAGCGGAGGCACGAGGCCGACACCTGAGTGATTACACTGGAGGCGGCTTGCTTGGAGCTCGTCTCCTTGGCCCTCAAGGAAACCCTGCCTGGGGCGGGGTGGGGGGGTTCTGATGGCCTCACACAGGAGGAAATGGAGGGACAGAGAGACCTGAGGCCCCTTGGCTGGTGTGTGGTGGGGACTGGGAGACAGCCCACTGTTTGGGTCCACTCATCTTCCACCTACTCCCGTGGCCAGACCTGGAACCAGCCTAGGGCCTTCTCAGCCCCCTCCACAGAAGGTGTTGGTCAGGGGTCCACACGGGAGCCAGAGAACCTCCCTCACAAGCCCTGCAGGCGGTAGCTTCAGGCCCCAGCCAAACCCAGACGTCACTAGCAGACCCAAAGACCTGGGTTCATGATTCAGGCTTTGAGCAGCTGCCCTGGGACTGGGCCTCAGTTTCCCTATCTGTAACGTGAGGGGCCAGGTGAGGCAATTGTTCACGCCCCCCTCTGACCCATCCCTGCCACGGATGGGGTAGCTGGTGGGGCGAGAGTGGGACAGACTGCCGTCGCGCCCGACCGGGAAGCTGGGGACACCAGGACGGGGAGCTCGCAGCTCCTGACGGGGGCCGAGGTGTTCGGGAGGGTGCCCTGGGTGCTGGGATGACCAGGGACGTTCATTTTCTTTTCCGCAAAAGAGAACGTGTAAGAAGAAAAAAGGGCTTTTTCAGAGCTTTGGGCTGGGTCCCCCAGTATGAGCACGGGTGCCACCCCACTGGCGGGAGCCCTGGGGAAGCTGAGAAACTAGCCACACAGCGAGGAGCAGTAAACCGAACCAGCAGAAGCGCACACTCCGTCCCGAGCCCCCTGCCCTGACGAGAGAGGCCACAGCCTCTTGGGTGCCCTCGCTGGCTAGCTCCTGAGGCCCTCCACAAACACACGGCCCAGCGGCGGGACCCGGCAGGAGAAAAGACCCCGTGAGCACTACGCATCACCCACCCGTGCCCTGTGTGCTCCCCAGTCCCAGCCTTTCGGGTCCTGCTAGGAGCCCGGGGTGAGGATGAGCCAGGGCTCACGAGAACAAGGGGAAGGACGGGTGGGGGTGCCGGGAAGTCGGGGCAGCCCTCCCCGGAGTGGGAAGGGGCAAGGCCCCGAGAAGGAGGGGTGGGGGGGTGGCAGGGTGGAGGAGGAGCAGGGAGTGGGAATCCCGCCCGCTCCCCAACACCAGCACCCCACTCCCACCCCACCAGGAAGTGCCCCGCGGACCCTGGCGTAGGGCGGGGTGCCCAGATTCTGCCCAGCCCAGGCTGGCCCAGGGCTTGCAGGCTCACCTTTTGTGATGGTGGTAACAGCCGAAAAGGCAGGCCCAAAGGTCGTTTCCATTCTGGTCTGGAGAGAGAACGCACGAGACTTGGCACTGACCCCCGGAGAGGGTGGGGACACCCATGGGAGCACACACGGACACACTCTCCCACTGACGTGCCCACGTGCATGCGTGCATACACGGGGACACACCACCAATATACACGGCACAGCCCTCCCGCAGGCCCTCCAGGTGGGGAAGGGACTGAGCTGGAAGCTCCGCCGGGGGGCCCTCCACCGGGGGCCCCACACCCATAAGGCCCCCTCTTACCCCAGCTGCAACGTCTGGGGTGGGAAGGTTGGTAGGCCCCCCGGAGAAGCGGTTGTAGCGGGCGTTCTTGCCCGAGCTCATGCTCTAGAGAGGCATCTAGGGTCCTCGGGCCGCGTGTCCTGCGGGGGAGCACAAGGGATGGCTTTAAAGATGGTGGCCCTGGCCCCGTCAGGTGGCCTGCTCTGGCTAGTCCACGACAGGCACGCTGCGGTGGCAGGGAGGCTGACAAGGGCGGACCCACATGGGCAAAGTCCCTTCCCCTCCCTCCCGTCCCAGGTGTGCATAGGCCCAAGGGAGGGAGGAGGCCCTGGGTGCAGCGGGCACTCGGCTTTACCCTCCTTCAAGGCCTAGCCTTCTAGAAAAGCCACCAGCTCTACCCCAGGGGTGGAGAGCCCGCATGGTGCTCTGTCTGACCCTCTGGGTCTAAGGGCAAGTGTCCCGGGGGCCAAGGCTGGGCCATGGTGTGGCACACAGGGTGGGATCAAGCCGTATGCCCGCCTCCTGCCAGGGTAGGGGCAGTCGGGCCCTGGATAGCCCCAGTCTGCAGGACGGAAGGACACTGGCCACGCCCCAGAGAACCTGTCAGGGACGTACCTGGGGCCTAACACTCAGAGCCTCATCACACAGATAAAGCCATTTTCAGGCAGGGGGAGGAGATGAGAGCCCTGACTTCTGACCTTGTGCAAGTCACCTACTCTGGAAACAGGGGACACCCTCTCACTCCCCAGCTGTTGACTCAGGACTCGCGGGCTGAGGTGGCAGGGAGAAGGCACAGTGGGAATCATCCTGGGCCTCCGAGAACCGCCCCCCGTACACCCAGAGAGGGGCCTAGCTGGGCCCCAGGAGGGCTGGCTATTAGAGAGAAGGCACCAGCTAGCTGACCAGATCGTGGATAGCCTGGGGCGAGCTGCTCCATTGCCAGGGCAGCACCCACCTTCCCAGGGGCCCTCCGAGGGTCAGGGTCTCCTGCTATGGCCCGGAGTCAGCTGTAGCCACAAGGCCCCAGCTTGGAGCCAGGCTCCCCCCGAGGAGGAAGCCACACACCCAGGACTGCTGCCACCTGGCATGCATGAGCTCTCTACCCCAGAAGACCCCTGAGCAGCCCCCTGGGATGCCACACCACGGGCTGATTAGCCGCCGCCCAGCCCAGCCATCAGAACCAGCGTCAGCAACTCCTGAGGAGGCCCCTGGTCCTGCTCCTCTGGGGCGGGAGGGGGCGTGGCAGGCCGGGGCCCACCCTGCAGTTTGAGGGCCCCGCCGGGCTGAGAAGGGCTCCTGGTGGAAGGGCTGCTGAGCCTCCCACCCCGTGGGAGGAGGCAAGAGACGCGCTCTGCCCCCACCCGGTACGTGTACGGCACGCGGCTGGCTCCAGCACCTTCTCCATTGGCCCCGGTGACCTGGCACAGCTGGCCACGTCTGCCTCACACACACACCAGAGCTACTCAGTGGTCCTCCAAGCCAACCTGCAGGTCCATTGGGAGGAAGCTGGCTCTCAAGCCTTGTGTCCCCACACTGAGCTCCTGAGCTGTCACACACACCCCCATCTCCTCTCTCTCCCACCTGCCCCTTCAAATGTCACCGGCAGTGCCACTCTCCCAGTCTTCTAGCCTCAGGCCTCCATGGGCTGGCTCTCAGCTCCCGAGCTGGCATGGCCACAAAGTACCTCTCCCTGTGCTCAGAGTGCCCTAGGGGTCCGGCTAGATAGGGGGACCCAAGAGGTGGGCCAAAGCCTCCCCCTCCTGCCCACCACTCCCCCTGCTGTGACTCAAGGGACCTGGCTGTGTGTCCCAGACCAGGCTGTCCAGTGGCTTGTCCTCTTGCAGGGGCGAGGCAGGGGCTCCTGGGAGTGGGCAGTATCAGGCCCTGGGACAGAGATGTGAATACGGTGTTTCCAGGAGCCCCACCTCCAGCCCCGCTGCTGTCTCCATGCTAAGTAGGAAATCTTGGGGGCCACCCTGGCCAGGGTGAGGTCCAGACAGCTCGGACGGAGGAGCTCTAGGACTCACCTCTCGGGAAGCCCAAGGTTGGCTCCAGCCTCAGCACCATTGGGCATGCTGGGAGAAGGGTGGGGGTGGGTCACGCGGGGGTGGCTGGCCCACACTGACCTGGATTTTACAATCCATCTGCTCCCTCTGCTGCAAGCTCCCAAGGCCCAGAGGCCCGCTGCTGGCTCCAGGCAGCCAGGACCCCAACAGGGACTCCCCCCGGGACCGCGGCCAGCCCGCCAGCCCCCGTGGGGCCTGTGTGCGTGCTGCTGCAGTCTGAGAGAGCGGGCGTCTGGCTCTCCCTCCCTCCGAAGTGAAGTAAACAGAAAGGCACGCAGGACTAGCAGGGCAACATGCAAATCGGCTGGAAAGTCCCCTGACGGCCAATAGCGGCCCTGGCGGCAGACACACAGGCCTGGCTTAGCCAGGGAGCAAAGCTGAGCAAGGGAAGGAGGGAGGGAAGTGCTTCCCCGTTTACATGGGGTGGCATGCAGCCCCAGCCAGGGACCCCAGGGTGGGGCGGGATCCAGGCTGCAGGCCACCGCCCCCCCTAAATGTGTGCCCCCGAACACAAGGATCAGATCCTACCCTAAGCACTGTGGAATTGAGCAAGATGCATCGAGCCTTCAGCCCCGCTCCCTAGGGGCTGTATTTTGTAAGAGTCTTCCCTGGCATCCTTCAGCTCTGCAGGCCCAAACCCCGGAAACACAACAGCACAGCTCCCCAACCCCCTGGCCGGGCCTAGCTGTGCTGGGGGGTGTGCCCCAGCCCCCGAGGGGGTAGGCCTCCTCACCACTCCACCACCGCCTGGCAGACAGGGAGCTGTCAACTAGACAACTGGACTCTCCCAGACTGGGAAACGCTGCGGGCTCAGCCTGCCAGGCACAGCTGGGGTGGGAGGAGGGTGAGACAGGACATCCCCACAGCTCCCCTTCCCTCCCCAGCCAAGTCCCCACCCTGCCTGTTCCAGGTGGCTCAGCAGAGCCCATGGGAGGGACGTGAGGATTCTATCTCTTAAAGACTGAAAACCGCAGGTCCTGGTGGAGATGGGTCTGCCTGCCTCAGGTAAGGCTGGTGGGGGAGTGGTGCCCAAGGGCGCTCAGGGTCATTGCAGAAGCAGCCCCCCTGCAACCCCTTGCTTGGGCCTAGGGTCAAGGCCCAGGGATCTCTGTCCACCCACGTCCATGTCCAAAGGGCTTCTGGGGCCCTGGGGTACACTCATTGCCCAGGGAGGAACTAGAGATCCACCTATCATGCCCCAGCCCCTGGACTTTTCCACCCCCAGCTCCTCTTTGGGAAAGCCCCCCACCAGCCCCCTTCTCTGGGCAGCTTGCACCAGAGGGCAGGCCAGCTCCCTGGGGAGCCCCTCCCCAGCCCATCCCCTGGACGGAGGCCAATAGCATCTGCTAAGCCCTCAGCCTTGGGAATGTGGGACCTAGGCCCCCCGGTTTGGTCCGTGCGGCTGGCAGACAGTGGAGTGGGCAGTGCCCGCTGTAAATGCCGGAATCGGGGCAGTGGGGTGGCCGGAAGCAGGTCCCACTAGGGCCAAGCCCCGCCTTGAGGCAGCTCCTCCAGCTGCCCCAGGGAGTGGGCGTGGTGGGGTCTCCTGAAAAGCGTGTGCAGAGTCAGCGAGGGGGTTGGCATGCCCTGAAAACCCCATCAGGCCACACATCTGGTGGTGACTGCTCCAGGGGGGAGCACTGGTGGCTCAGGACACCTCAGCCCTGCCTGGCACAGAGCCGTGGGTGGCCGGCTGGGCTATAGCCAGAGCTCCAGGCCCAGCCCCTCGTATCACCCACGGACCACCCAGCCCCTGGGTGAGCCCCTGCCCAAGGCCCCCTGGCCAAGCCCAAGCTGGGCTGCCAAATCCTATAGAAACAGGCCGGTTGCCATATCAAAGCCCCATATACTTCCTCCAGCTGCTCCCTGATGTCCCCTTAGTATGTCTTTTCCATCCCAAACAGGCAGGGTGTGATGTCAGGGATCCCCTCAGCACCTCAGTAGGCCCTGGTTTGAGGCCTCCCCGGCCTCCCTTCCCTCCCAGCATGCAGCCTGGGCCTCCGCCCTCACCCGCCATCCTTGTCTCTGTACCCACAGTCCTAATCCACAGTGGCCTCAAGGTTGCTGGACTGGACACCTGCTGTGGCCTCCTCTCCCAGGGCTCTGTGTCCTCACACCTCCCACCTAGCCTCTCACCTTGCCTATCCAGGTCCAGCACCCACAGGCCCCTCTGCTGGAGGGAGAGCATCCCTCCTGCTCCACCAGCCTGGCTTTAACCCCCATTCAGCAAGGGGAATGCCTTCGCCTCCCCACCTGCCCCTTGGGGCCAGACTCATCTCCTATGCTTTCTCTCCCATACAGTGGATGGCCACATACAAGCTGCAGACTCAGCCTGGGGGACTCTCCTCTCTATGATGCCTGGAGAGCTTCCCGGAGGAAGGGGCTGGGCGGATCCAGAGCAGGGAGAGAGCATTCTGGGGAAAGGTATTTGTCCTCCTATCTCAGCACCTGGCTGCAGGGGCCACTGTTACCTTTCACCAGACAGCCTGGGACAAGCTTCCCATCTGTGCGGCTGCTGCCAGAGTTGGGCCAGACCCTGAGTTGGAGGGAGGGTGTGGGCAGGTAAAAGTGGCCCCTATAACCAGCTGCATTCCCCTGGCCCTGCCCCAGGCTGCCCCCCACCCATGAATCTAAGCTTGTGGGGACAGGTCCTGGGCCTCTGCCCAAGAACCAGGTGGCAGTACCTCAGGCCCAGACTACAGCTCCAGGCCGCCCTGGCTGTTGCTCATCACGCTCTGTGTGGTTTCTGTCTCCCTGCCTTCCTCTTTCTGGCTTCCCTACAGAAGCTGGGGAGTGTATACAAAGTCACAGGCCAGAGCCTGGCCTGGACATGCACCAGCCCACACCACTGTCCACCCCATGCCCTTCCAGCCAGTGCTGCAGCACCCTCACTCCTTCTGCCTGGGTCCTCTTGCGGTTAGTCCACCCCCCCAACTGGACTTCCAGTCAAGTACCGGGGGGCAGCCAAGTACCAGGTCTGCCAGTGACATTAGCACCAGCCCCCAGGGCCCATTTCCCCCTTCATCTGCCCCACCTGACTCCATGCTCCTCCAGGGAGCAACCAAATGCCTTCAGCTGAAGGGCCAGAGCAGAGCACAGAGGACAGTGGAGGGCATCTGTTGGAAGTGGAGGGGTTGGCAGGCCCCTCTACCAGGGTTCCTCCTGCGTAAGCCAGCCAGAGGGCCTGGTGAAGTCCTAGGTGCCCACCCAACAGCAAGGTCAGGCCAGTGGTGACTCAGGTTCAGAGCAAGTTATGTCCTGCTGACACCTGCCAAGGCTAGACACATGCTGGCCCTTCATATATATGCTTACGCTGACCCCTCCAAGTGTCCTTTATGGAGATGGAACAGCATAACGGTCAAGGCCACGAGTGCTGGACTCGGACCTGGGTTCAAATCCCGCCTCTGCTGCACAAAGCTGCGCGACTTTGGACAAGCTTCTCAACCTCCTGGGCCTTCGATTTCTCACCCGTGAAACGGAGTGGACATGCCCGCATCTGACAGGAACTCTGAGAGATGGCTCTCGAGGCAAGAGTCAAGGCTCTGCCGACAGCGGCCCCTCTCTGAGATCGGAAAATGGAGCTGAGAAGCTATCCCAGCACTTACAGCCTGCAAGAGGCCACGCTGGGGTCAACCGAAGGCCCGTTCCTCTCACTTCCTCTGTTCTGCCGGCAAATCAAGGAGCCCACCATGCACTGAAGCCAGCCCCAGGCCAAGCCGAGCCGGGGGGGGGGGGGGGGGGGGGGGGGGGTGCAGCCAAACCACAGCGCCCAGGCTGCCTGAGGCCACCCAGCCAGCGCAGGCCCTTCAGCCACACCTCTCCCATTTCCCAAATTGTGCGTTCCTGATCCTGCGGCCAGGTTCACACCCACTGCAGGCTAGTCCCCATGCTGGAGAGAGGGCCCGTGCTGACGGCCAAACGTGAGTCTGACCCGGAGAAGCTGCAGGGCCCGGGAGGAGAGGCAGACAGAGGCTCGGGAGTACTAGTAAGCCCCATGCAGTCTGCCAAAGGCACTTTTCTGTGGGTTCTTGTCCCAGCTAAGTCAACACTTCAGACCCTGATCTGTTCCATTCATTTCCAGAAATACTGTGATACACAGCCACAGCAGGGGTTACTCCACAGGGACCCCTCCTTCTCAGCCGGTTACCTCCCTCATCCAGGCTGCCCGTACCCCTGCTTCCCCTGAGACGGAGGTTCTGGCTTCTGGGGAATAGTGCAGCGATACCCTGTAGGAACCATGAGCCACAGGGACTGGGGATTCCATGGAGAAACGGGAATGCCCAGAGCAGCTCAAGTAGGGATTTACGACAGAGAGGTAGTTTCTGCTACACAGGCCTCCACGGAAGGGGTGTGGGAAGGGAGAGGCCCAAAGAGAAGGAATGAGGAAGAGAGAGGCCCCATGCTTGGCAAAGGCCAGGGGGTGGGCAGCCCCCAGGAGAGGAGCACTGTGTGTGCATGGGGAGGGGTCTGTGGGATGGGGAGAAGGGTGGACACGGTCTGGGCAGCCCGGAGCTCTAAGAAAGGGAGGCAGTAAAGTAGGGTGGAATCTCTGGCCGTCCTCTCTACCCCTGTCCTGCCAAAGCAGGGTGAGATCCAGCACAAGTGCAGACTCAGCCCCAGCTGAATGCCCTGGCCTGGTTCAAGACAACCAGAGCCTCATCTCCCATCCCACTCTCCTCTACACACAGGCCAGCCTCCTTACTCTCTCCTGCTTCCTCACTGAATCTCAGTCCTTCCTCCACACATAACCAGGGGCTCTTCACTAGGCTTCAATCTGATGCTGGCTCTCCTGTGTACAATTCCTGCCACCCTGCACCCTGGTCTGGCCTCCCGGACTCGCCTCTCACCCCTCTGCCAGCACTCACTGGCGCCCCAAGCCGTTTCTCCCGCGGGGCCTTTGCACATCTTGCTCCCTCTGCCAGGCATGCTCTTCCAGCAACTTCCCAAAACAGGCTGCTTGCTGGAGGCACCTCCACCCTCACCAAGCCGCTCAGGAGCGCCCAGCACTCCTTCTCAGCGTCCTGTTTCGTAGCACCCATCACAACTCCTCAGGATTTTGGGTGTACTGTCAATCGCTCTCTGCTCTGGATCACCAGCTCTCAAGCGGGGGGGGGGCGGGGAGGGGGAGAGCGGGGGGAGGGCAGGATTTTGTCCCCCAGGAGACGTTTGGGAATGTCTGGAGGCATTCTGGGTTGTCACGAAGGGGGTGGGGGAGGTTACTG